AAAAAAAAAAAAAAAAAAGCCAGTGAGGTATTAAAAACCTTACCTACAAAATATCTGGATGGCTCTGACACTGCAGACATGTCATGAATGCCAAGCTCAAATCACAATCAGCAATTCAGTTATCTACTTTGCTACAAAGTAAATAAATAAAAAAAACTATCAGAAAATGGATAATGTTTGCAGGGTCTTAATAAGTTCTTGAGGAGTATATGAGCATGCAGTGGACTCCCTATTATGTATGAAAGAGCATGATAGGTCCATGATCCACAAATCTTCATTTTGTAAAATACTACTTGCATGTGAATCAGTGGTGCACATATAGCAGTGGAAAAGTTAATTGAGAAAGAAAATAGCAGTATAATCAAGGATTTTAAATATGAAATAATTTATTACGCAATAATAAAAATAAAGTTTGTTTCACTCCACCCTCAAGCCTAGCACTATCAGTGTTAGACTTATATAACCCTGAGGAAAAGTCACCTTTCAACACTGATTTATGATCAGTTAGGACAAAATGAGTGTGCCTGAGTTTTATTTATGTACAATAAAATAAAAAAGACAGACTCCTATTTTACCCTAGTGCAAGTGACTCATATTTAACCTTTTTTATTGTTTTCAGTGACTTATAGCTGACACGGTGAATACTGCCTTTCCTCCTACCTTTCTAACAGGCAGCCTCAACCCTACCTCTCGTAACTCAAAGGGGAAGTGATGCATCACATCCACAGCTTTTTCTTGTCACCTGCAAGAGCACTGTGATGGATAGATGGACAGAGGGCCCTGAGTTTTAGTTGTCCTCGGCTGTCGCACAAACAAATAGCTTTGGTGGTCCCAGTGGTCAAGGTCAAATTGGCAGTAAAGTTAAAGATGCGCGCTGGTTTCATTTGAAAAGGGAGAACAAAATTGATTCTGCAAGAAATCGCTTGTAGTTCTTGATGCCTCGGTCCAATTTTAGCACGTTTGCCACTCATTCTGATTTGGCATTTAGAGTTTCTTGACACAGAGCCAGGAGCTGTTTACAAACGTTAAAAAAAATTAAGGGCATAAATATGGGAACCCAGAGAATGGATCAGGAAATGCCAAGGGAAGGACTGGAAAAGGTTAGAAGACCAGCAGGATGCAGAGGTGGAGGCGAGACTGGGAGGGTGGATATCAGAGGACGTATGGGACAAGGGAAATGCTGATTGCAGCTTTGTGCTTTAGAAAACATATGCGAGTGCGCACCTGACTATGAGTCAGAGGGAGATAATACACAGACAGACAGCGCAGCACAATGTCCAGGCTTTCACAGAAACACACCCACAGCTCTCTGGCTTATTTATAGTCCCGGTGCTCCGAGGTATCACGTGCGTTTAAATGCCGCACCTCACACAGAGCAAACACTCATGCGTGATATGGGAAATGTCACAAAGGAACCATGGCGCCACTGTGTTCTTGCCTACAGTGAAGCTAGGCTGGTTTCAGCTTGCAGGAACGGGTAGTCTTTGGCTTCTAATGAGGATGAAACCTTAAGAGCTCCATGATGGCCCTCAGTGATGGCACAAAGTGATCCACAAAATATAGCAAAATGTGATGTATGTAGAGAGCAGCACAAGCAATGATGTCAATGTTAAATGAGAGATCAGGTGCAGAATCAGACATTAATCAACCCTTTCTGTTTACAATAATACACAGTATTAGATTATAAAAGCCATTCTGAAGGTATTGTTTAACAGAATGAATGCAAAATGTGTAAAGAAAATGTTTTTGTTTTTTTTAAAGCCTTATTGGCATAATTTTTAGACCTTAGCATACAGGGCTGTAGCTTGGAATGTTTTCTGACAAAGGAGAGCTTTTATGCAGGAGTCAAATTACACCTGTCACCATAATCAATAAATCAATTAATTGCATGATAAATTAAAATGATCAACCTCATTTTCATTTACCGGCTTTATCGTTTCGTGTCTCTCTCTTTCTACTAAAGACACGGCTCAACTTCTTCACTGATTCTGTTCTTCACTGACCCCTCCCGTTCTTTTTTCTCTTTAAAATCTGTTTTAACTGTCCAAAATCACGTTTTTGGATCGTTGAAAGCAGCTAAGCTGAGAAGCTAAGCTACGAGCTAAGCTAACAGTCCGACCTCGGGAATAAACCTCCATCTTGTCGAAGCTCCAAAATTCACGGTTGAAACCCGTGCCTTCGTGTAAAAAGTTGTTTTTCTCTGCAAAAAGAAGCCGAGAACTTGTTTACTGATGTTTTATTAAAAGCTTTGTGTGAAAGATGCTATGCTAAAGAGCTCAAATCACCGAGCATCCACCATGTCAGCCCATGTCACGTCAAGGGCCCTCCCTCCCATTTTTCTTAAAGAGACACGCTGCTCATTTATCCATCCTTTGGTTCAAACTGTCTTATACTGCCATCAGGTGGTCAAAAAAGGTACTACACTCCAAACAAATCAACATTTCTTCTAAAATTTGACAATTACCATTAATCGCCCAGCAACATTTGTTATCGTGACAGTCATAGTCAAAACACAGCTCTAGCATTCTATAGTTTAAACAAAAATAAATTCAAAGTCAAAGTTTGTCATTCGAACCATATGTGGTACATATGGTGGAACAAATTTGTGTAAACATGGTCCCAGTTACATCCAATAAAAGTATAAATTGTAAAGAAAAACAGCAATAAGATCTAAGATATGAACTACGAAATATGCTAAACTAAGAATACGCTAAGCTCTAATAGTATAAAAACAATACGCCGAACAACAGCAGCACGAAAAGTGCTGAAACTGCAAAGGGGTTTGTAGGCTCAATCATCCAAGTAGATAAACTAAAAATCATACCATCTGGACCACTTTCTTTAAGTGAGAAACGTTTTGTCTCCCATCCGGAAGACTTTGTCAGTCTGTGGCCTGCCAACCAGATCTGTCCCATAGATCTGGGACCTGGGACCAACCAGATCTGTCCTTTTTTGTTGTTATCTACCTGGATGGTTGAATTTAAAAACCTTTTTTCTGAACCATTTTGACCTTGGTTGTCCTCAGGCTGTTCTGTGAGTTGCAAGTCGGCCATCTGGCCTAAAACATTTGATTGTTATACATGATGATTGATTATTTTAGATGGGTGTGCTCTGTTTGCACATGTTAAAAGCCTGCTTCTGAGATTTCAACAGGAGGTTGGCTTGAAACAGCAGTGAAGGCTACCTATGGGGCAGATCTGGTTGTCAGACTGATGTAGTCCTCTGGATGGGAGACGAAACGTTTCTCACTTAAAGAAACTGGTCCAGATGACATGATTTAACCTTTTATGTTAAACTGAAAAGCATTTGAGACAACAGCTTTGTCTGTTTTAAGGAAAACACAAAACATGTCGAAACATCCAGCAATAAGGATTTGAGCCTTTGAGACTCACATTAGGAAATTGAGAATCCCATTTCAGAACGTTTAGGAGACTCCTTTAATGCTGTTTGCCAAATAGTTGCCAACGGTTCAGTAAGATCAATGCTTTATTAGTTGTAGCAAAGTAACATTTATGATGCGAGTATGCTAACTTGTACACATCGATCTATCCATCCATTTTCTCTCCCTGCTTTTTCCATGTTCGGGTCACTGTGGAGTCAGTGTTTCTCCAGCAGTCAGTGCGCAAGAGGCCGGGTACAACCGTGACAGGTCACAAGTCCATCACTTTTCCACAAAGAGACAAACAAGACAAACTACGATTCACACCTAGGGATAAATTTTACAACTCTGTGGGAGGAAACCGGAGTACCCAGAAAATAATCCAAACACATTATAGAGGAAATAGATTGGTGTTTGAGTAAGGCTTGATGCCTTCAATTGTGCAAAGTCGAATCAGTGAACAGTTATCAATCCGCCTACCTGCTTCCTGCTTTTGTGTTTTGCTCTGTTTTTAGGTAAAATATTGTTATTAAATTACGATCAGTAAGGTCCTTTGGAAATTTGGAAACAACGTGACATTGAAGTCTTGTTTCTCTTTTTGCCCATGTGTATCCAGCAGTGCAACCCAGGTGACCTCCGTGTCCTGAGGAAGGGAATGACTCTGTACCACTCAGAGTCCCAGCTGTCCTCACTGCCCCAGCGCCAGGAAGCCATGCACATGGTGAGCATGCACTCACAAACCTCTCTCGAACACTCACAGTGACACGCAGAGAGGGCGAACCCACTCACACTCAACTGCTTAGACAATAGGTCATCAGCCTCGCTCTGCCACAACAGATGTGGTTCAATGCTGGGGGCAGGATTTAATTTCATACACTTCTAATTGTAGGGAGGACGTCACTGGTGCCTCCACGGTGAAATCAAGTCAGGTTGGCTTTGATTCACTTCACTTCAGACTCTTCAATTACACCTCTGCAAGCAACCCTCCTGTCTTCATGGCAGGGAGGGAACAAAATCACTCAGGAACGAAGAAAATAAAGGCGGATGAGATAAATTAGAAAAGAAACAAAGAGGCAACAGACACAAGATTTAAACATCAGAATCCTCTTCATCTCAGATCTTCAGCTCTTTAATGTTTGAAGTTTCTTTGAACTGAATATCTCTATGAAAGTAATAATCCTCTCCAATCCACATCCACTTCTGACCATAGCAGTGTCTGGGGAGGAAAGGCTTAGTAATTGTTTTTTTGACTGCATCGTGAAGGGTTAGAGAGGGGCTACGCTGCTGCTCAGAGGACTGAATCTTCAAAGTATTGGAAAAAAAACAATCAATGTGATAGTCTGATCGCAGGCTCAGTGTGGATCTACTGATCTTCTTGGGTTCAGAACTGCACAACTCAAATGTTAAACAACCTATTCTTTAATTTACGATGCAGTTTACATGGACAAATAAATTGCAAAAGTAATGCTACAGGAATCCACTTAAAAAATCTGAATTGTCACTTAAATAGTCATTATGATGAGCAGGGTCGGCCCAAGCCTCCATGGGACCCTAAGTGAAATTTGGTTTGGGGTCCTCTATTTCTGCTAATAATGTGGATTACTGCAATCATCAGTCAGATCATTCACCCACCTAACATAAACTCAATGCAACTCTGACAGCCCTGTTTGGGGGGGCCCAATACCAATTGTTTTTTTCTTTCTGCATATAGAGAATGTTTTACATGATCACAAACACACATACACACACACACAATATAAAACAATAAAATAAAATAAATTAAAAACTGTATGCCGTTTTGTGGCTGTCTGTTGTTGTCGCTGTTGTCCATTGTTGTCATCTTTCTTTGTTGAAATCAGGTCTCTCTTGTAAATGAGTCCTCGAGGCTCAATGGGATTTACCTGTATAAATAAAGTTTGAATGAAAAAAATAATAATAATAAATATATATATATATATATATATATATATAT